ATTTTACAATTAAACTTTAAAACATATTGCAGCTTTTTAAAAATGTGGTAATAGAACTGTGGTGGAGAAAATAACTTCTTAAAAAACTACACTTAAAATTATAATATATGTTTTTTCCAAAATTTCATGCAATAGGATTCTTAGGGTATGTTTTGGACAACTTTCTGTCTACTTTGAGTTTCAAACTGCAGCTACAGCTCCGTTTGGGGAACAATTTTCTTATTATTTTCTTGAAATTTCTTTGACGGGATACTGTTTTTTTCAACATGATCTGTTAAAGTACAGATGTTGTAAGAAATATGTGTGATTTTTTGAAAAAAATATGCACTTATAATTTCTAGTGTAACTTTCTAAGAAGTTGGTTTCTTCCCCACAACTTTACTACCACATTTTTCAAAAGTTGCAGCCGCCCAAAACAAACCCTTACAACTATTGTTATTCTGCAGGTAAATTTGAAAAAAATAGTTTCCCACAACATAATTTTTCAGAAAGTAGCTTCCCAAACGAAGCTATGGTGGCTATCTAAAATGCAAAGTAGATAGAAAGCTATCCCAAGCAGACCCAAAATCTATTACTTCTATATGAGAAATCATATTCCATTATTCAAACTTTATTACGTTTTATTAGTTTATCTTTTTCAACTATGGGGTGCAATACCATTCATAATTTTAACTCATACTAGCACAGCTATTTTAAATAGATAAGACGCTATAATATTTTTAATTTCATTTTTTTTGTGAAAATAATATTCTGTCTTATGTGTAGTTCTCTTAACTTATTTGTTTCTAAGTGATTTTCGTACATTCCTACAACACAAACTTCTCTCGCTTGTCATAAGTTTTCTAACATGTGCAACAATTCTTGTACAACTTATGACTTATGTTCTTAAAAGTAAATGATAAATGAAGATGCTTATTACATTATAATATAACATATTCATTGATATTTTCTATTTTTCTTTAAGATATTGATTACTTTTTATGTGATTTTATTTTTTTCTAATTAAGCTATGATTAAATCTTATTAATTATTTAGTTGCAAAAGTTTTTAATATAAGAAACATCAATCATATTCTATATTAGCATGTTTACATATAAAAATGGACTCATAAAGCAAATTATTTTATTTTTCAAGCACATAAAGCTTGTATTTTTATTAAGGTATATGAGTAAATATAGAGTTACCTTAAGTGCCTTCCAATATTTCAGGCCTGGGAAATTAATAGGCACTGAACAAATTGCAGAAATAACGTATGAGTAATCCGTGAGAAGCATCTCCATCAGCCAATCATCCTTTCTTATACTTAATGTGTTCATGGTCATTATTTGAAGGGAATACTGCAACATCATATAATGTGGCTTAAAATCTACCTCAATGCAAATAACAAAGACTGTTACCATTAAGACACCCTGTATAACGTGCTATGAATAATTCATAAAGTTAGGTCCTTGCATAACATTCATATAGAATAGTTTTTATCTATTCTAATATCTAATGCCTAAAGTTTGATACTTATATTTATGACACATCAGTGTTATAAACTTATACATGAAGACATATTTCACTTTTGAATGATTCAAGCCCTTCACCATGATTAAAAATACAATAATATAGAAGATTATGCCATGATCCAAATCAAATTACTTCAATGCCATAATATTGGAATATATATAGAAAAAAAAACTTAACTTAATGTAAATTATGGCAAAAGTAATATCTTTAGTTATATGTTTTTAAATTTTAATAAAAAAATTATGAAATATATGACTATTAAATATAATAAATTTTTTTAATACAAATAATTATAAAGTCATCTTTTATCATAAACAAAAAACCAAAGCTTTTTCATGCATCGACATTCTTAAGAAGCTGAAATCTACCTTAACAGACTCTTCTTTGGCTGATATAATACTGCCGTTCTTCCAAGAATTCACAATACATGAAGCCAAATAATCTGCATCTGCTAAAAAAACAGTCTGCAATCTCTTCATGCACAAGAACTTCAAATAAACAGATCTCAATCTCTTATGGCTTTCTCCACTCAAAAATGCTATTGATTCTCTGCCGAAAAGCCCTTGAAAGGTTGGCAACCATGCTGTGGCAAACAGCTTTCCCTCATTATTTTGCACAAATCGATTAAACTCTACGTTAGCTGATACTATGGCCTCTCTTCCCAGCAAACTAGAGGAGAATATTTTCCCATACCTACAATCCCAATCACTACTGATCATCATTACAATTATAACTATGTTAAGCATGCATGTTGTATGCTTTTTATAATGATTTTATACCTTGAGATGCGATCTTCCATGAAGTGTCCCACAGAGTTGGATTGATGAGGCTTCAGAAAAGATAGGGTTTCCCCAATTAGAGGCAACCATCTATTTCCAGGAGGAAAGGCATTGGAGGGCTTTGTCTTGGTGGTTAGCCATAAGATGACAATGAAGATAGCCATAGAGAGGATTTGAAGATGTGTTGAATTCAACTCTACCATGTCGAGGCTCTTCTTTCACGATAGAGTTGAGTATAATTCTCAACAAGGACCTCTATTTATATAGTTCATCAAATGTGTGTGTTTGTTTGTAATTGAATCATGCTTTGTCCATGGGCTCACAATTCAAGGGAATAATTGATGAAGAAAAGGAATAAGGTTTAATGGGTCTGCCTAAGGTTTCCCAGTTGTTGTATTTGGAACTATGTTTGGTGGGTTTCCATATTGTTAAAAACTCTTTCTTTTATCTTGAAGTTCATGGTTGACCCTATCAATTGATAGTGGAACACAACCATTCTTTTCTGCTAAAATTTGTATCATTCTAGCTGGAAATAAAGTGAGAAAATCTCAAAGAAGTCATTTTTGAGCGGTCATCTTCTCTAACAAAAAATCTTCACTTTATGTAAGAGACTTGGTCAATCTCAAGAAGATGCCCTGCTTGATGACTCCTCCTTCCTGAGCTCATTCCTCTTCACGAGCTTGACATGGGTACTTGCCCTTCATGATGACATGGAATATCATGGAGTGTTTTAAGGTTTAGGTAAAGCATAAGTGGATGAGGAAAACATGACATTGATCAATTAACTATTACTTCAATTTAAAAAGCTTGCATAAAGTTAATAAATTGAAATAATATTAAACATGATTAAATATAACAAGTCGAGGGTACTTCTATATATATATATATATATATATATAATTATTTTAAATTATTTTATAATTCGAATAATAACAATTCGAACACGAACGAACGCATCACTGTTCTTGTTTGATTCGTTTAACTAACCGAATGAAAAAAAAAATTCACATTTGTTTCGTTTACTTATCGAACGAATCGAACATGAACTCATTGACGAAGCAAACGCGAACTGCTTGCAAACAACGAGTTTTTTTGACAACCCTACTGATAGGGTGTCACATGGCAACCCGGCCCCAAATCGTGCATGTCAGTAAACCCAAATTATCACGTGGCTCCCTGTTATTGACAGGTCACACATTTTGAATTTGCAAATGTAAAACTGTAAATTTTTAAATCGCCCAAATTAAACTCATTAATTGCATTAATGTTTTCAATGATCGAAGACATGGGGTCTGGCATTTTGACCGCCCTGATTTCATCGGATCCGCTTATTGCTTTATTTGACATTTGACGATTGGATCATTTTCATACAAAAATGACAATAGAATCTTGCCTAAATATTTAAAAAAGTTTATATTTAAAAATTAAGATGCAAACAAGTAATCGAATTGTTGATGCACACTGTAAATCAATTAGTCAGGGTTATAATTGAGCCAAGTCAAGTCGTCAAATATCTCATGGATTTAACTTGACTTGAATTGGCAATAATATAAGTTGTTCTTATTCACCCTATGCTCGACTTAAACTTTTTAATATATATTCATATTTGGCTTGATTTATTTTTTTAATAATTATATTTAATTTGTTTATATTTATTGAACAACTAATTAAACAAGTTAATGAATAAGTTAGTATTTGAATTTATATCTCACATTTTATGTTAATTTATTAATAAATAAGTTTATAAATCTAAATAAATAAGCAAGGAAATTAATTAAATATTAATAAAATGAAAATAAATTGTAAATAAGTTTATCTGCAATGAAATAGTATTTAGCAAAAATTAATTGCTCATATTTGGCACATACTAATTTTTTTTTATTAAAATAGAAAAACAAAAACTAATTGTGCTAAAGTTTAATGTATATTAACATTAAACTATAACATGTTATTATTTAATATTAAATTTAACAAGTTAAACTTAATTAATTTTTATTTAAATAATATATTACAAATGATATAATCTATCAGTGAACTAGCTATGCATAATTTAACATGTTACTCGTTGAATGATAAAGGAGTTTGTTCGTTGATATAAATAAAGAATCTGAATATTGTTTAAGTACAGTTAAATTAACCTTCAAGCTTTTGAAAACATTCTTTTTGCTTGTTTACTAATTTCGAGCAAATATGATCATTCATCGACTAAAAAGTTCATTTACAAGCTTACAACCCCAACCATAAGGTTCTACACTGATGTTGCATCCTAAATTATTTGTGAAACTCGCACTAAAAAGGAAAATAAAGGATGCGAACCCAGAAAAAAGGATCGTTGCGTCGAAAGCTTCGTGGGGTAAGCTACATAAAATGGACTACATAGAATGAGAAATATACATATATTACATGTCCAATAATAAATGTAGCTTGATCCTAGACAATCTTTTGAATAAAAAAGGCTATGTTCGCACATGCTTAGTTGACCTAAAGTAAGATTATATACATGTTCTATGTGAGAAATATTATTCTTGGATTAGATACTCCAGATGCAGGTTTGTTGAGTTTAATGGCTCATATTGTTTGGTTGATGCCATTGTTTTGGTTCAGAAGCTATTTTGTAGTGAGGTGGATGAAGTTGGTGGTTAGACGTAGGAAATCACATGATAAGTTTTTTTTCTTTTATTTCATTGGAATTATTAAGGATATGATTTATAAACCAAGATTACATTAGAATTATTAAAGATGGAAGGATATAAATATCAGGAGCTTTTGAGTACATGCCACGATATTTCTTATGTATTAACATTTCTAACACCTAAATATTCATAATTGCATACGTAAGACTCGGACCCTTGTAGCACTCATTTTCTTTTTAAAATGAATTATGCATTTTGATGGTTGAGGAGTGCACCAAGGTGTTATAAGCCTAAATATCAAATTTTGGGTATTAGATATGTAAATACATAAGAATTGTGTGGTTTGTTGATGAGTACGCAAGTGTAAAATTGCTTTTATCAAATTCATATAGTCCTTTGCCTACCTCAAAGCCATTGCTCCCCTTCGGAGGGCAATCGCTTAAGGGCTGTCTGGCAACATATTAGATTTACGTTATTAGGATTCAATAAATATGGTGAATACTGATTTACTAAAGCTTATACAAAAAACTGTTTGGCAATAGATTAAGGGTGTGTTTGGGGCAGCTTATTGCCTGCGACGACGTTTTGAAAACGCAGTTTACCCTTTTTTTTTTTTTGGTGTTCGGGCGGCGTTTTCCAAAAGCAGACTTTTTTTTCTTTAATAAACGCGGCTGAGGGATCGACCTAGCGGTTCACGTTCATTTGCTGATTATTACCAACCTGCCCTTGGTTTTTCGTCTCGTCTGCCCTAGCGTGATCCTCCTCTAGTTCTCTCTTTCTAGTCTTGTCTCATCTCCTAGCTCCTTCGCCTCTCATCCTCTCACTCATTACTCCTCTCTCTGATCTCTACAAAACTATAGATCTGTAAGTATGGAATGGTTTTCGTATGGATGGAATGGTTTTTGTAGTAGGCGTTCCTTCGACTGATATGGATTTCATTGGGTTATGTTGGCTTTCGTATTTTTGGCTTTATGCATTCTACTGGATTTTTTATTAAGTTTGGCATTCAATATGGGTTTTCACCCCTTCTCTGCTTCTCCTTCTCCAATTCTTCATAATTTGCGATTTATTTGGATTTTGGTTTAGAATGGTGTAAGTTACGTATATTGTTTTTGTTGGCTTGGATTGGCCATGCGACCCATTCTTGTTATTGCACCTAAATTTTTTTTTAGCTCGAGGGGGCTGCACTTGCAGTTGAACTAGCCTTTTTTTACGTATTGTTTCTATATGTATTGAGATGTTTATCCTCATTCAAAAACTACAGTGGAAGTGTTTGGTGCTTTACGGTGGAAGTGAATCATGTCTATTACAATGGAAGTGAGTTTTGGCTGTCCTCTTTATTTCATTTCTTTACAAAAGTGGAAGTGAATATTGTGCATATGTTTCACTGTGACAGTGAAATTTGGCAATGCATAATACACACATTTTGGTTTTGTTGAAGGCTAAAGGTTTTGTTGAAGGCTAAAGTGCATCTGTTTCACTGTGGCCAAGCATGCCACAGGTGGTTCTCAGTTTTGCTAAAAGGCATGGTTGGGAAGGTTTGGTGAATTCTATAGTGGGTGGTTTTCGGTTTTAGTAAAGTGCATGCTTGGGAAGGTTTGGTGAATTTTGTTTTGGGTGGTTTTCGGTTTGGTAAATTGCATGAACATGTTGATATGTTAAATGATTCACCATAATAAGAAGCAAACTTTATCTTTTTTTTTTTCTTTTTTATTCGATTTCTTGATACTCACTCTTAAATGAGGTGTATATCCTTTTATTGTATTGTTATGAAGTGATTCTTTTTTGTTATAAACTATCAAATGTATAGCTGTTACAACTACGTCGCAAAGAACACAACTGCGTCGAGGCAGAATAATCATTTATCCAGAAACAGCTGCAAACCAACTGTTTTCCAAACGTATAAAACAAAAAGTTATACAACTTATCTATATCAGGGGCAGAATAGTCATTTATTCAGAAAAACTGTAAATAAGTTGTTTTCCAACACACAAACCAAACAGCTACCCAGATTATCTGGATTAGCTGCTAGTCAATAGCTTATCATGATAAACTGCAGTTGCCCCAAACAGACGCTAAATTTACATACATGACACTTTGGTGTTTTAAACATATGAATGAAAATGTTTATTTCACTTTCTTAATAATGGTAATAGTGTTATTTCCAATGTAATAATAAAATTTGGAGAACTATGTTAAAATATCAAAATTTAGGTTTGAGATATGTAACTACATAAGAATTGTGTGATATGAATATAAATTCCTCTTTATATATACATGACACTTTGGTGCTTTGAAGATATGCACAAAAATTTGTATTTCTCTTTAAAAATTAGTATGTTTTATGTTTTTTTATATGATATTGAAGTTTTGATTATTATGTGTGAAAATATAAAACTTTAGGTTTAAGATATGTAAATACATATGAATTGTATGTTATGCTTGTAAATGCCCGCTTTTAAATGAAATTTCACATACCTAGCACACAATTTTTATGTATTTATGTATCTCACAATTAAACTTTTGTATCTATATACTTGACATTTCAATTCCTTAATTCTATGCATGAAATGAATATTTCAATTTTAAAAACTGATAATAGTGATGTTTTTTTATATGAATTTTAATTTGACTTGTTGATTGTGATGAAGTAATGTTTAGAGTATTGACGAAAAGAGCAAAATGAGAGAAGTTCAATGTTTTGTGTTACAATTTTTACGGTTTTTATTTTCTTATAAGGCAAATGACATATGTACAGCCCTCGACATTTGAAATGCCAGCAGTTAGTAGAGTAATGACAACATTTCGGAGTTTCGTTGATTTATTAATCAACATTTGAGAA